GAATTCCTGTCGAGGACCTGCAAACGAGATCTTCATGGGCCTCAATGAGACCATCTGGGAGAACCCTACCTGAATGTGTACGGCGTAGGTGTGACCCTTTTGAAGACCAGTGAGCGTTTGGGAGTAGTCCTGGTTGTCGCCCACGTACGGGACAATTTGACTGAAACTGGTCATTTAGCCCTGAGGACAATGTGAAGGGAATAAGGGAAAGCGTACCCATAAGGATTCCATCCAGAGCTTTCGCTACGGAACTGCAGACGGTAGCCGAACACGCCACGTCCGTCGCCTTCGCTTCTCCATTGGACATGAAGGTCGTTCCCACGAGCTTCCACTCTTGGGGCCGAGACGAGCGCTAGAACATATCCCGGTCAGTGGAGTGTCGTACGAATGCCCGAATGCACTCCATGCGAATGTTAGTATGAACAGCATTCCACAGCAGCATTTGTTATGGAAATGAAGATCTAGGAGAGAGTAGTCTAGGGAGATAGGGAGGAGCTCTAACAGGGTACGATAGGAGCCGAAGGCACGCATAAAGGCACAGCGCTGTTCGGCTATTGTTGCTACTAGTGTGGCACGCTACCTCCTCCGACTTCTAAGTACTGATAGGCTGATGATTGTTGTGAATCCGAACGACACCAAAAATCCGTGCGAGGGTCGCAAACACTGCGACGATGACGCTGATGCTTACGGACTAAACATTAGAAGCTCTACGAGAGATTGAGATCAGTTCAAATGCAATTCCTGCACCCAAAAAATTGAGGTGATCAAAAATGAATTTCTAGGTGGCATTTTTAGATATGGCCATTGGAACATACTCAACTGAAGGGTCAAGATATTGAACTGTTCTGGAAGCTTCTGCAGAAGAAAAGGTTTGAATCTTGCGAAGAGGTAGATGTCATTACCCTGCCGACACCACTAGCATGGTTTTTGTGAGTCACATGGTTCTAGGGTTTGCTCTATGAACGGCTCATTGACAGTGACATGGGGGTGTCACTGTGATCACTGCCCTTTGAAGATGTCTTAAACGTGATCGTAGAAATAATGTTCATTTTTCCTGGACTGCTCTGGGAATGGCAAAATGAGGTGAGACTCCAGTTCGGAGGGGACACTCCCTGTTATCTTATCCGTAGCACTAGAGAGCACTCCTTTGGACTTTAACCCTCTGGATAAGGTAGCAGGTAAACGACTCATTCTCAGTGGATATCTGATAAGGACCGGTGTATGCCTCTACATCACGGAAATCCTGTTCATATCCTAGTCATTTTGTAGCATGTGATCGTCCACCTTGGGCTTCTACACCCTTGCGCCCGGAAAGGAATGTCCACACACCTAGTTCGGACCAGTTCCTGGGCCCACAACAGGATAAATCTGAAAGAACTTGAGAGTACTGTCACCTTTACACCGTCCTTATCACGAGGATTTTAAATGAAAATCGGCTTACGGTCTTATGAAAACTCCTCATCCTTATCTTCTAGTGATTGCAGAGAGCACAAATGAAGTGGCCCCTCCATCCCCGAACTTGAAGTCTCACCCGTAAAAATGAGAAGGCCTCCAGTTCGAATTTCTTGGTAGACAGAATCTTTCCGGCTTTATCGCCTCTTCTTTTGTTCAGGTATGTAGAAATTGGATTTTTGTTTGAACAAAAATTTTGCACGGTAAAATATGAGTATGGGGGCGATTTCCTATAGTACACAAAAACTATCGAGAGAACTCTCCTAACTGACGTGAATATTCTCTCAGCCAGTGCTACTTGGGCCCAGGGCTAAACGGGGTCAATGTCGTGATTTCACGAACCAACCGCATCAATTCTATAAAAGGCAGCGATCACAATAGCTGGAGAGCTGTGTGGCCTAGATGACATCATTAAACTTCACTGTTTAGAGGGCCAAAAAAACGGTACCGAACGCAAGGGGTCATGATCGGACCAATAAATGGCTGCAACGAGTCATCAAAACAGCACGCTCCAGTATCGTATGTCACTGCCTTTACAGAACACACCGAACCAAACGCTTTCCTAATATTTTTTTCAGGTTGATAGGCTTGCGAATTGTTTGCATCAAGTACTGGGAAGGGCTTTCGGAAATGCGACATGCGTCCTGTTCAAGCCTGGTCTCGAGAATCGGGGCGTAAGATTAGGGAGCCCCGACCCAATCTTCCAACGTAGATATGACTCACATTGTTGCGCACTGGTGAAAACCGCTTGCTGTGAAGCTGGTCCTGATCCTGCCGAATTCACGGCCCGTACCTATTAAGGGGGAAGATTAGATTCGGAAATGAGATCCGGATAGAAAAGACCTCGTTTGCTCACTTCAACACGCCAATCGCCTCGGGCGGGGCCTTCAATGTCATAACTGCGTTCACTGCCAGGCACTCGATGACTCACTGGGACGCCATTCTGAAACAACTTTCGAAGTTAATGGAGGCCTAGGCTAATCATGAAGTCCTTGCGACGTACCTGCATGCCACTGATGAAGAAGTATGTCTGGCAAGCTGGATCTTCACTAGGGAATGTCCACGAGATCCGTACCCGGTCCTCTGACACTCTGTCCAGGCGCACGTTCTCAGGGGAGATCGGACCTGGAGTGGAAGGATCGAGGAACCTGCCTCAGGAAAACCTCAAACGGCTTCACTTACTTTGACAGGAGACTGAGAAACTGGTGCTCGGTGAAGTGGCTACAGTACCGCCGCTAGCGTCGATCGCTCTCACCCTTAGGTAATAGGTTGCAACTGGTACGGGGCCAAGGTGACTGGCGGAAATGCGTCTGCGATGGTTCCGCAGGGACCATGGCGCCATGGTCGCTCCATTCTCGATCGCCGTCCCTTCGGATATCAACCTGGGACATGGGCTATAAGTCTCGCTTCAAGGATCGGCGCGGGCTTCTGAGTGTACCTGATAGCCGAGCAGTCGTGAAGCGTCTCCTGTGGTTGACCAGTAAACCACGTTCCTGGGTCCTTGTTGCTCAATGCGTGGCTGGGTGAGGCCCACTTGTAGGGACGGTTGCTCAACTCCAGCTGAAAATAGAATGGATTATGAGCGTACTGAAGGCATGGGTGTGACAAAGGGGGCTCAGCAACAAGGTCACTTCTAAAAACGACACCGTAATAACTTACTTTGTGCTACGGAATTCTAAGTATCCATGCAAAATAACACGCAGTGGGAACAAGCTCGACGCAGGACAGAACCAGCAGAACAGAAAGAAAGCTGTAAGGAAAGAGTTCCCAGAAAAAGACAACTTCTAGCTGGGGTTGACAAAGGATCATAAAGGCTCTAACTAGCCTAGGTTCTAACCAAATTGGCTCACAGGTCTTTATCACCTTCACACCAAATATGAAATGACGTTGGAAGGTCCTAGGGGAAATTGCTCTACCATCCTACTCCTTATTCTCGGCTGGCCTTGCCGCCCGTGCTCTTAATAACAATTAAATATTCATTAGCCTATATGCTGGATCTATGACTTCTCCAGTTGTTCTGAGTAATCTGAGGTGAGAAAATTAAAAAACTGGAGGCAGCAAGTGAACGCTACGACATGAAATTCGAGAGTAATCCAGCTCAACTCCGCCCTTCTAGCCTACCATTACTCCAGAAACACCGAAGTAATGCCAGTGTTGTCAAAGAGCCATCGATCAACCTCCGCGACCTCACAGGTCGCATGGAAATTAGAGACCATAGGGGCAAGCGAGAGACGCAGACAACCCCGATGTGTAAGCCGAAGTGTTTTGCTCAACACACCTGGGGAGACCCTGGCTCTTTTGTTGCGCTCGTTCTAGCCGCCGAGACGACACATTTACTGGTTGGCTGTTAAAGGCACACTCTACAATTGAGCTAGATGAACCAAATCCCCTTTATGAGTGGGGCGGAACGTCTCATAAACTTTGTACATATGTAATCTTGGCGGCTGGAAAGTGCGCGATCAAAGAGCCGGCGTCCTCTCAGCGTGCTGCTTGATGTCAGAAAACACAATATGTTCTACACAAGCGGGATGTCTGGCGTCTCGCTTGCCGCTATGATCTCTTGTCTCTTCTCTCTCCTGAGCCCAAAATTTCTCTTCTTTCACCGCAGAGGGAGCTTTTATTTTTGTGCCTTTTGATGGTTCCTTTTGCTTTTGCCTTCCCTGGTGGTCCGCTTCCACACATTATTCCATTTTCAATGCAAAGTAGCCACATAGATAGGATGCAAGTAAAGCTGTAAACGTGCATAGTGTTAGTATACCTAGACGCATAAGTGAGAAATGAATCGTGCTTCCGGGATCATGAACAACTCCGTTGGTCAGATTATACGAGATACCTAAAACGCATGAATTAGTGATAGCAGTTAGTGCGTAAGACACCTAAGTGATCAGTACTCGGCTGATGTAGTGTACGCCGAAGAAGAGGTTTTGAAGGCGGTAGCAGAAGTCGCCCGGATCGACGAGACCTGCTGGACAACGGAAGTTCTGCGGACAACCGTAGACTCGGGTCCATCGAGAAGAGCCTCGTTCTTTGTACGCGACTCTGTAACGCTGAACGGCGCTGTTTAGTTGTGTCACAAATGGCGCGCCAGCGGAACTATCAGAATGCAGGTCTCAGCCGGTGAAAAATCAACGCAAGACGTACTTGAACGAAGAGATATGGTTAGTGTGGTGCGGAAGCGGTGTCCAGACAAGATAGACGTCCGGTGGGGACAGTACAACACGAAGTTTCAGGTGATTGGTCTCGTCTGGAACGGATTGGTCCGCTTTTGCGGAGACAATGTGGAACCAAGTTGAACAGAATAGAAAGCACTACCTGTTATCGAGTGTTTCGCTTGGCGTTTTCGACGTCCCAACACTCGGATGTTAGTCAGAGTTAGGGGTTTCAAATCTGCGATGATGATTAGTGTGAAATCAGAAAACCAAAAAATGGTTAGTGGTTAATTTGGCCGTCTTTAAGGCATTAGCGAATATCTCTAAAAAACGAACCACTCAGCGATCCTTCAGGGGTGGTCGTACGCTCCAGATAACAGATGCCTCCAAGGGAGAATGCCGTTCGGTTTACGAGATCGAACTCGAACGACTATCTAGTCGAAAGCGCAGTGTCAGGGATTGCCACTGAGGTGCCACCGATGTACGAGGCACCGCTATGAGGCGTCTGTTGGTCAGATTGGTGGATCTGCAATGGGTAGGGTTAAATTGTACCCATAAAGGGTAGAAGGATTTGTTGGTATCGTCACTCACAAGATATTCGTATCCATCGATGGGGGCAACGCTCTCGTCGCAGTTTGGCTTGCTCCAGCTGAACCGAAGCACGGTTGGCTGGGCCAAATCAACAGTGATCTGAAATACAATAGTGAATCCCCGGTAACTCACAGAATTGACAGAACTGACCTCCTCGGGAATCCCTGCTGCACCGACGCACGCATTGGCAGCGGCTTCGCCCATGGTGACCTCTTCGGTCCTTCCGATAACCTCGTTGTCGGCTCCGATCGCCATTAGACGTACTGTGAATATCGAGGTGCCAGGTATGACCGGAAGAGTGACGGTATAGGTTTCAGCCCCTTCTTCGACTTCCTGCAAAGTTATGCAATTCATAGAGTAATGGTGGAAAACCCTGAGAATAAGCCACGCACCGCTTCGTCCATGGTCCTCCAGAAGGTCTCGTTCGGTAGCCTGTATTCAACCACAAATTTGGTGACGGGCTTAGCCATCGACGGTCGATGCCAATGCACTGAGAAGACTCCACCCTCATCGACAACCTGCATCAGTTTTAATACTTTCAGAACATCTGTGACTTAAAGGCACATTCCCCGGTTGAACAGATGGAGGTTATTACTATTGAAAATGAAGGTATTTGGTGTAGTAGGTACACTAGTCATGAAATACAGCACAAAAACCGCTAGAAACCCTTAAATTTGCACTGCCCGCGATGGCGTGGGCGGGGTTTGCATCTCATCTGCAGAATCTGGAAGGGCGACCCTTCCTCTTGGTCCGCTACAATACAGCAACATACCTAAAAGGTGGAGCCAGCCAATGATACTCTCACAGGAGCGATGCGCAAACCCCGCCCACACGATCAGCGCGGTGCTGGCGCTGCTTCTACGGATTTTTAGCAGTTTCTTCCTTTTCATTACTAAGATGCCGAGTATCACAACCACTTCCATTTTGGATTGCAATAAAGTGACCTATTCAATCATAAAGATTGTGTATGAGCTTATTTGTCAAAACTCACCTGTGGCTTTTCTCTCCAGCTCTCCATAGGATACTCGGCAGTTTCGGCCTCTAGATGGTATACCTAAATTTGGTAATTTTTGGCGACATCCTCGGACGGATATGAGCTGATGAGCTTACCAGCTTGGGTTCATGATCGACGAAAGCGATGACACCGATGATGTACTTGGTGTTGGGCAGAAGTCCTGCCAAAGTGTGACCGGACACGTATGGAGGGACACGAGCCCGCTCCACACGACGCGATTCCGGCAACAGTTCCACAGCCGTCACCTGAACGGATTCTTTGAGCGCTGGCGATACTAAAAGGGCTTTGACCCAGGTTACCTCATAGTGCTGCGCCCGTTCGTCGCTGATCGGATCCCACGAGAAGTGAAGTTCGGTGTCCGTTCGGTACACGAGGCGAATGTCACTCGAAACGGGAACGCCTAGGACAGAAAATATGTCGGGGTTGATTCATAAGCGCTAGCGGTAGAACTTACTTTCGCCTTGGGTCCTTGCCTGCATGACGTCGGAATTCCATGGGCCAATTCTACGTTGTCGGTCCACGGCTCGAATTCTAAAGGGGAGTAGGTTGAGAAATGGCACAGAAGGGATTCAAAAAGGGTTACGGGAC